CAGAGGGGTTGGACTAGATGATCTTTAAAGGTCCCTTCCAAGCCAAACCATTCGGTGATTCTCTGAAGGTCTGTAGTCCATCTGTCCCTTTGTCAAAGTGGGGTCAGCTGGAGCAGTTTTCTCAGTGCCTTGTCTAGTAGTAGTGTTTTGAATATCTCCAAAAATGAAGACTCTACAGCCTCTTTGGGCAACATGTTTCAGTGTTTGGCCACCATCACAGTAAGAAATCTTTTTGTGTCTAAGTGAAACTTTCTGTATTTCAGTTTGTGCCCACTGTTAAAGAAAAAAAAAAAAAACATTCATTCTCATGGTCATTATCAGCCTCAATCTTACACTGTATCTAGCTTTGAAATAGAAATTTTCTGTGGTAGTGGTAGAAATCAGGAGAGTAGATACTGCACAGTCACTACCTGTCTCACAGAAGGCAATGAGAGAGTATGTGGATTGATTCAGTCAGAGTTCAATGTTGTTTTTATTAACTATAAGACTGGAGGGAATAAATAATAAACAATAAAAGGAATTACTATACTGGAAACTCTGCACCAAGTCCTCGTAGACGTTGTGAAGTTATTTTCCAGTTTAGAATGTTACAAGGTTACATTCGGTTTGCATTTCTTACATCATTGTATAATTTAAATGTGTGATTTGTATGAAAAAAATGTTCAGCTAGAAAGAAGTAGCACAGCTATAGGTGATTGTATTATACCGTGATACATGTGTGCAGTGCAGTCATGTTTCTCAACTACCTAAACCAAAGATCAGTTTAGGCACCAATTGCATTTAGATGAAATGAGAAAATTTGCAGATCAAAAAAACCCCGTAATTTGCGCACGAGTGCCTAATGAAATGGTACAATTCCTCAATAGATGTTTTCCTTTTGAAAAGGAGCATCAGACTTCAGCTAACTGTGTTTTTAGAGCTTATTTGCAAGTATTTAAATACCTTTTTTCTGAAAGCAGACTTCTCTCGTATGGTAGTGATGTCCAGCCACATTGGGGAGATGCATTTGCTGGTAAATGATAAGGAAAATTATCCTAATCTGTTCATTCAGAGGGTTCTTCTGGATTTTTTTTCTGTTTGAATTAAAGTAACTACTTTTAAAAATACATTCTGTGTTTTTTACATGTTTGTACATACATCTGTGTAAGTGTGCTTGTGTGTGTATACATATGTTGTTTGGGATTTTTTTAACAGAACCATCTCAGTGTTTTTTCAGCGGTTAACCCACTTGCTTCAAGTATAACTTCCAGTCTGGCCTCCAGTGTTGGATCAGATAGTTCATCTCCTACAACTGTCTCTGCCCTCAGTGCCAAAGCTCTCCCATTCTACTCTGGCGGTAACACAGTTGAATCGGTAATAGGTAAGTCTTAACGTTTAATCTCCGATCGAACATGTTTTGTTGCATTATTCAAGTTCTCCTTGTTTCAGCGTAAGTTCAAAGAGCTTATTGGTAAAGACACTAATGTTGCACATGCCTGCTTTATTATATGTAATTAAAAGCAATATCTGAAATATAATTTAAATGTTTTCACCCACAATCATTATTTTTCACAAGGTCTCCAATGTGAGCATAGGAATGAGTGAATGGGACATTTAAACTGGAATTTTGGCATTGGTATGGGCCAGCGATTTAAAAAAAATGTGTACCACCTTCGTAATGCAACTCACTGTGTCGCTAGAAGTAGATGTACTGTCTCTTCAACTTCTGTTGGTGGGCTGATGAGCGTTGACTTTTTTTTTTTTTAATGTTACCATAGCAGGTACAATTACAGATCTTACCACGTTCATATGACAATGGGGTATTTTTCTTTGGCTGACCGCATATTCTCCAGTCTGGTGATTTGTATGTTCAAGGACAAAATCATTTGTTCACACTATGTGGACCAGATCTGAAAGGACACAAAGAGGAGGAGCCCTTGCTTTCTGGGTGCACAAGACTGATTCTGGGAAATGCTCACTTCCAAAATTTCTGTCATTAGCCCAGAGCCATTCCCATGCTTCCAACCAGCTAGGCTGTTCATGTGGAAAATGGTAAAAGGAGATAAATATTTCAATAATTAGACACTGGGAACTTCAAAACTGGTCATGGTACGCCTGCTATGGTCTCTCAGGTGCTGGAGAGAGAGGAATAATCACTTCCCCCAACCTGCTGGCTACACTTTTACTAATGCAGACCAATATGCCGTTAGCTTTTTTTGCCACAGAACACGCTGAATGCGTTGTTCATCAGAATTCCTAGATCTTTTTCTGCAGTGCTGCTTTCTGATCATTTGGCCTGTACTGTTGCAAGGGATTATTCTGTCCCAAGTGCAGCATTATTGTATTTGCCTTTGTTGAACTTCATGAGGTTTCTGTCAGTCCTGTTGTCCAGCCTTTTGAGATCCCTCTAAATGGCAGTCCTACCATCGAGTGTATCAGCTGCTCCCCTTAATTCAGTGTTATCCACAAACTCATTAAAATTTGCGGCGCTTTTACACTAGATGTGGTTTATTCAGGAGGCTGTGGTAGGGAATGCTGTGATTTGAAAGATGCTGTATTGCACATTCTGTGGTGTAAGTCACATGATCAGGGAGTTGCTGTGATTAGCTGGTGTACTTGAAGCTTTCTGTGTTTAAATCGATGTGTAGCAGCGACCAGGAGACTGCAGACAGTGAGTCAGCACTTCAGCACGGTAAGTTAGGCATTTGCTCTTTTAATTTTTTTAGGAAACAAATCTATGCAGAATATTGAATGATGGATCTTTTTCTGCAGTCTCACAAGTGTATAGCTTGCTTTCCTTAAAGGTCTGTTTGATGATCTGTGTGTTAGAACAGAACATAAATTATTTTTAAATTTCAGAATTAGAATGAGCAGAGTTTTAGTTTTTATTCTATGCAAGTAATATCATTTCATCGGCTTACAGTTAATATTTTAAGATATACTGTGGAATGAAATAACATTTTTGTCAAGATAAACATTGCTTCTGGAATAAGTGGAGGGTAGTTGGCTGTAACAAATTACTCATACAACAATGAAAACTGTGGTCTGATTTCTGCATACTAGATGAGGTGCTAATTCAGTATAATTTTTAAATTGTGATATGCTGAACAAGTGTGGCAAAGTTGTTTAAACAGTGCTATGCTATGTTTCCCGTGTCCCAGTGTGATTATATTATTCAGCATGAGATTCTCGATTCCTCTGAGTTAGAATACACCTCTGCTGTCTACAGATATTTTTCTAAAACAGTTTTCAGTATCCTGTGTTTGTTAATAGAATATGAATCATCAAATACATGTCTCATGTATGTATACGTTAGTGTACTTTATGGTAACTGTGTAGATTTGGGTTTTTTTTTTCCTTAAAAGAATTTCATATATAGATAAATTCTTTTTCCAGAGTTCTGCTTCATGGATATACAGGATGGCATTCGAAATAAAGTGCTGCACATAATCTGAATAGAGCAGAAAATTAAGACGTTATTGCAGAACAGAAAATAAATACATAGTGTTCTTGTAGGAAGTGGTGGATTGAGGAATCATAAAAAAAAGGGATAGAAAAAGAGCTGCAGCAAGGGAAGGGGCTAGGTGATTATGGGAAAGGGGGATGGGTAGGTTTGGATAAAGGATTAGGGGAAATGCAGGAGAGTTACATTAGCAAGGACTGAGGAAGCTTTGTCAGACAGTGGGGTCTGTAGCCATTTCTGTGGCCCTTTATCTTGATCTCACGGGGAGTTCCCTGAGTAATAGTCCCCAAGAGCTGGGGAAGAGAGGGGTGCAGGGGAGTTGGGAATAAGCATACGGATCAGATAGAATGCTATTTAGCATTGAGGCTTGGCCAGTATGTTGAAAACTGAGGAATGATGGAATGCAAGAAGGTATATTGTTGCAGTCTGCTCCTGTGAGAGTCAAGGGAGATTGGTTGAGCTGTCTGGTTTTGTTCCAGTAAAAAAAAGAAAGAAGCATAATCTGAGGGAAAAAAAAAAATAATTTTTTTTTTTTAAGAGGATGGAGAAATTAGATAATCAAAGTGTCAAAGGAGACAGATTTGGAGAGGAATAAATAGGGAATGGGCAGCAGTGAAGGGAAACGACTCAAGTGGTAGCAGGGAGAAGGTGGGACCTTGACATTAGGGGACATCTGCCAGCCTGATACTCCACCCTGTTGTCTGTTAGGTTCTGGGTGGACCTCACCCAGGAATGTTTTGGTTGCTTCTGTTGCTTTCTGTTGGATACTCAAACATGGGGATTTTGCCTGTCTAGGAGACTTGCTATTCAAGGAAAATTGGTGTCTCTCCATTTGCTTCCCATATATGTTGTGATCTTAAGATGCTGTCTGTGTTCTCTCCTTGCACTCCACTGACTTTCCACCATGTCAGGTGGAATCTGAGAGAGCTGGAAGGTATCAGAAATTAAGCTTTGAAAATCTGGATAATAAACAGTAAGGAGACATGTCTGTCCTTTTTGTGGTAGGGGAGGGCGAGTGTGCCAGAATGAGTTAAGGCCTCACATGAGGAGAACAAGACAGGTTAGTGATTTAGTAACAGTGCAGGCTTAGATTTGATCTCCTATTTGAGCAGTGTGATTTATGTCAGCCTCGTTGTTCCTGCTTGTCATACTCGCATAGCAACATACTGAGCCAGACATTGCAAATAACTTCAAATATTAATAACATCTGGCTGATGTGGGGAATTGCAAGAGCTTGAAGAAAACAGTTTGTTTCCCTGTTTAAAGATAATGACGGTGCTAATGGTGGGATTTTAAAGCCTCTCTTTTCACGATTGAGAGAATTTTGAATTTTTTGGAACAGCTTCTCTTGGTGAGAGAGGGATATCTCCCTGAATATCCTGCAGTGTAGTGACGAGAGGTTTGCTCTCACAGGTGTGTGGCGTTTTTGCACAAAGGGCGTTGAGACAAGTTCACATGGGTGAAGATTTATTAGTGGGTTGCATAGCTGATGGCACATAATGATGAACATTATGTCCAGATAAATACAGAAA